TTGTCTCGCCTTCGACGTTGATTTTTTATTTCTTTACTCTTCTACTTGTTGCTGCATTGATCGTGATCATGTTCATGCAACACGCTCAAACGCTCGCATTTCTCGCCTTGCCTTGGTTGTAGACAACATTTTATCTACCTACTAATTTTTTTTCTCTTGTCGTTGCTCTGCCTCTTGCGCTGTGTTCGCTGTCTGCTATTGATCATGTTTGACGATGAACTTTTAATTGATGTTTTTTCAATCGCTGTTGCATGTTTCTTTACCAATACTTGCTTCTCGCTCACCTCCACACCTGTTCCAACTACTTAGTCATGTTTTGAAGGTTGTTGTTGTCTTTTGTTTTTTTTTTTGTTTTACTTTTGCAAACACATAAATTTTCCTCAACCTGGTTGTTGCCTTCTTTTCAGGCGTAACTAATGTTTATTGCTGCACTGTGCCACTTATGCCACATGCCTAACGAACTTGCCACAATTTTCGTTTACATAATTTTACACTTCAATTGAGGCAATAACAATAAAAACAACTGGCGAGAAATGCATGCAACATGGTTCACCCGCAGTGATTGGGGCAGCAACGGATTTCCACAGACCGTTTTAGTTTTGGCGAAATGTGCGAAATTCGAAATTAATTGAAACGCCCACAATTGAGGTGTGCATACAGATCTGAGTGTATGTGTGTGTGTATGTACTTGGTTTTCTGGTAGACAGAAGAAGTCGACTTGGATTATAGCTTTCACTGCAAAATATTTCCACAATTTTATTTCAAAATTCTTTTTATATACATTTTTAACCCATTACCATGCACCTATTTTTTTAGGTGATTTTTCATTAAGTATATTTCTAAATAATTTAGGTTCTATGGAAAATGTCTTTGGTTTTGTTTTTATTTTTACCACTGCCTTTATTCTTTTCATTATTTACGTACGTACTCACCTTTACTTTCATTATTATATTGGTCTTTTTCTAAGTGTTATTCTTTAACCTTTTATTAGAAGGTTTTTGTTAAATTAATACCATGTGCATAAACTGGAGAAGCACTTGTTTCAGCCCCAACCATTTCCGTTGCACGATTTCCGTTGAATTTGCCAATTTACTCCCAACCAACCAACCGCCGCTAAGGAAGTTCCACTTCAAAAACTTTTGAAAATCTGTAAGAAAATTTAAATATATGTTAAGCACTATTTGCCTCTAATTTTTTGAACAAGTAACTTATCATAGAACATTTATTGTGCTTAATTTTTTCGATGGGGAAATTCCAGATAATCCGTGCATATTCGCGCTGGTTCGTGCCAGGTCGGTTGTTACTGATTTTTACTCCATGGGTGTTCGTGCGTATTTTCGAATATGTATTCTGTACTGTTGCCGCGCCCAACATTCGTATCTCCATATTCTAACGAGCAATATTAGGCGGCCACCGTAATTGTGGTTAGAAGTGCATAGTTATTTAGCACCTAGTAATACTCAGATTCGATCCCTTGCCTTTACATTTTTTTGTGTACTTTTGCTATGAAAAACAAAGTGCGTGTAGTCTCTACACGCAAAAGAAGTGAAATTTCATCCTTTCATCTTTGTCNTACTCACTATCTACGTACAAAAATTCAGCAACATGAAATCGGCAGTTGAATCGCCGATTGCGCATAGCAGCTATACATACGTACAATAATGCATGCATACATACATACATATGTATGTGCAATCCACATCAAACAGTATAAATTAAGTTGTTAACATGACAATTCGACAAAACTCTCTGGTCTCTAGTGTTGACGATGTTGTTGCAATGTTAGTCACTTATACATTATTTTTTTCTTATCGAATCCGTCGATAGGCGTACGTCGCTCTTCGTTGTTGCAATACATTTCACACCTCGAAAAAGGCAACTAAGCAAAACGCAAACAACAGCAATTAAAAATAAAAAGTTAAAAAAATAAAAGAAAATGCATTTTAATGCTAACAAGGTCCATTTTAATGAATTCAGCATTTACACTCCGCTTCGATACTACTTTATTTCACTACTTCGCCACATTTGCACTCCACTCCACTACAGCAAACAACTCCTTCACTCCTGCGCACTACTCTCCAACTTCGGCAAACTTCTTGCCTCATACTTGTCACACACGTCTACTCCAACGGCATACTTCCACTACGTATAATTTTACGTACATATTTACATACATACTTGCTGAATCGGGTGTTAACTCCGCAGTGGCCTATTAAAGTAGTGAGCGCTCTCGTGCCGATTACGTTTGCTTTGGATGGGCATAAAGTTAAACGACAGGTCGCAGAGCGAATGCTTCCTTTTAGTATGTAAGTATGTATGTTGGGCTTTGGTATTTACTCTTGTGTTTGTGCAAGATTGCAAAAAAAAACGATTTTACATATAGATATTGATTTGTGTACTGCGTGCTGGTATTCACACTTGTTGGAATTTATTTGGGAATTCATGTTTTGAAATACTTTTGTGTGCGTTCGTATACTATTCATGCCACATACTACTCATTTTTGTGCACCGTTGGGCCTAATTGTAAATCTTCATTATTTGAAAGGATTTTTTTTTTTATTTTAAATACAATAAAACATTTTTGTCGGCATAGTTTAGTTAATTGCGATGATTTTTTACTGGTTTTTGAAATTTGTCACATTTTTTCTTTTTCGTAAATTTACTGCTTCAATCTTAAAAATTATCGTTAATCACCCCGTTTACTTAGTCAAATCTTGGATTGTTAGTTGTTAAGATTTTTGTGATCGTTTTTCTCACAATTCACTTTTTTCTGCTAAATAAATTAGGCAAATTTATTATACCTTAAGTTAATTTTTTTTTTTTAATACATACCTTTTTTCTTTGCTTGCATGCGTTTTTCTACTTTCACGTTCGGAATTTCTCCACTTTTCCGCAAAAAAATCTATTAAATTAGGTTTGTCATCGAAAAGTTATCGGTTTAATCTGAGGTTTTTTTTATTACAATTAACAAGACAGAACTTGTGTATGGGTAATCTCCTTCTTAAATTACAGATTTGGGAGTTAAGCTAAGCTTATATGTAAACCTATGATAAGAAAACTAATAATAACACGTAAATATCGCTAAATCAATTCGATCAAAATTTCAATAATGTATTCCGCAGCAACATTATTAAATATATCGCAAGCGGGGAAGTTAAATATATTGATAAATAATCGATTACAACATCGTCAAAAATTATCGATTAATTTTTGATAAAGGAGTTGAGAACCCAAATAATAAGAACGCGTAATCGAAAATTGTGTTGGTGAATAAGACCACATATCTGCATAAATATCGTGATAACTGACTTGATAAGGAGAAAGAATTCACTTAAAAACGATACATGTGTTGCTCATACTATTAATTAATTTCATATCAGAAAATGCTATTCTCTGAGAACGAAGCTTTTAAACTGAAAATGTATTAAGATGAGCGTCTAAGTAAAATAATTTTTAGGTTTTGAATGCAAAAAGGGACCTTGTTTTGATGGTCTACGAGAATCCGCCCACACTGTATTCCACAATTTCGCATGATTTTAAAAATTTGTACCCTTTATAAAATAATTTTAAAAATGTTTTAAGAATAAAAAAATAAAATAAATTAATTAATTAAATTATATGCGATTTTTCGTGGGATTTTTTCTGGCGTCTTTCGATTATTTAGTGGTTTTTTCTCAGAATATTAAATATTCTTTCAGTTTTTCAGTTCCTAGCTTTGTAATTTTTAAAATTCGGCGTTTCATTTAAAGCTCAGCTAAAAAAGCTAAAAAATAGAAATCTAATATTATCATTATTTTCTACATAAATCTTTGTGTTTTATTTTGCATTGATAAAAAGGAAAATTTAAATGTTTTTGTATAAAAACATTAAAAATCTATTGCTACGGTGACCATACTTCTAAGCTATAAATAAAGTTCAAAGTAAATGTTTAGAAAGCTTAACACAACTGCAACATTTAAGACTACCGCAGAAAATCTTTCTACGCTCTTTACGCATTCAAAGCGACTATAAGAGAGAAAGCTGTTGTAAGGCCCAGTCTTTTCCTCGGGACTACAGCGCTTTATCCTTGACCCATACCGGAGCTTTTGCAACTATATTCCACTTTCCAATAGTCTGTTAAATAGTCAAACTCCAGCGTAATTACCATGCAATTGGCTAAAAATATTAACTGTACGGAAGGAGCTGGATCAGCAACTAACCACTCCCTTCAGTGCAAAAATTCCACTTCAAAAGCAGCAATTGAATGCAGCAAGCTATACTTCCGGGAATTGTACCGGGGACGAGCTGGCAAGTAAAAGAATTAACTCTAAAACGATTTTTGATTTATCCTTGTCTTCAATTAAACTGCGGCTAAATTACGACGTTATCCGGCAAATCTCACGAGAAATTCATGGAAAAATATCTAAGCATCTACTTCTGCTTGATCACCTCTTCATTACCTCACTGGTTGGTATATCAATGGACACAGTCTAATGGGAATACAGAGACAACTTCTGCCGAAGTTGAGAGATCAAGGAAGAGGAAGGAACATGAGCTTCCGCGTCTCCTTCTTCTTCTTTAATGCTGTAAAACACGCCAGTCGTTTCTAAAATCTTCTGTTTCTTTTTCAAATCGCAAAGAGTGTTCCAAGGATGTTATCCAGATGTGAATAGGTGATGCATCTTTATGGCTTTAACTCCAATATAGTTACTGTATTGTACATGTATGTTCTTGTAAGATGGTCACCTTAACAAAGCAGAGCCTTCTTCATTAATCCCACAACCTCAGTTATGTGCACTGATGGCATCAGTGAGTAATGACTCTCCGCATAAATCTGCAAACAAGACGAATTGCTTAATCAACCACAATCTGTGTGTTATTTCATATCTACATACCACTCACAAAAAATTAAACAAAATTAAATTTATTACCAACAAAATTTACTTAGCTGAAATAATATTCACCCTTTTTGTCGTTCACACCCACTTTTATTAAACGTCGCTTTCCTATTCTCTTTTTAGACGCTGCAGTCACTACAAAGCGCCGCGAAACGAGCGGGGACATCATGTGCGAATTGCAAAACCACAACGACAACCCTTTGGCGGCGGAACGCAAGCGGTGAACCAGTGTGTAATGCATGCGGCCTCTACTACAAGTTGCATAATGTAAGTACAAGAAAGTATGCATTATAAAAGATAAATTATTTGTGAAATTTCGCAAAAAAAATAAATAAATAAAATAATAGCAAAAAAACATATTCGCAGCCGCTCTTAGCAATGCGCGCTGACGTAATTTTCGCGCCTGGCAATATAAATGACTTCCGCGATTTATTTCATGCAAAGCACAAATAAAAATGCTAAAGTTCATTAATAGTACTCAGCGCTGCGAACTTCATCAGCGCTTTAATGTCCACGTGGGAGCCGTGTCAGTTACAACTAGCTGCCAACATTCTAAGTTAATCCGCGCTGCATATGCTTTTGGTTGCATCAGAGCGCGCGCGCGCGCGCCACTAATAAAAGTGACACACTTAGAGACGGCAGACGATTTATGCATAGTAAATATCTTAGTATACACACATACATACATGCATAAATATCTGCATATTAGCATGTTCATCCTGTCAGAATTTATTTGCCCAACAACGCTGAAATGCGCTAACAAATTTCCAAAGTCGCATACCCAAGCGGTGGCGTCGTGGCGGATATACTAAAAAGGGAGTGCAATTCCGGTGTAAGCGCCGCGGCGGCACAGCGGGTGCTGCATGCCGTAAATCCGTTGATGATAGTTTAATGATATAAGCGTTTAAATCGTTTATAATGCCAACAAAAGCAACTACAAGAAGCATTCAAACAAAAACAAAAACAAAAAGCAATAAATTGGCAAAAGCAACAAATACACAATTGACTACGAGCAGCGCGCAGCGGCGGCAAAATAAACTTCATGGCGCTTAACCATCGCTGAGTGCGCGGCAGCGATTTCACACACCATTTAGCGCATATGACGCACACACACACACACGCACAGCGCAATACTCTTGCGCGCTGTATTCCCACATGGCAAGTGGCCGCTTTCCTCCAAATTTTGTGCTGCCTTACTACTGCCAAGCGCTACCGCTCGGGAACGGAAATCAAGTGCAGGGTAGCGGAAATGTGATGAGATTAAAATTGACACCCATACGTATGCGCTAAGGGGCGCAGATCAAAGATGTTGAACTAGCAGTTGGTTGTAAGCGAGTAGATGTATGTAAGTGTAAACTAGGCGATTGGGGTGAATGACAGACAGTGAGCAAGTACTTAATACGCGCTGCTATGTGGGGAGCGGCGTGCGTGTGAAGCTTAAACGGAAATCAGATTTGCACTTTATTCAGGCGGGTGCAATGTTCTTGTGGCAACTACGACAAAAGCACAAAGCCGGTCGGTCAGTTCGAGTATGCTAACAAGATCACATTTCACCCCTCGCATTCAATCATTCGACCTTGCCATGTTGCTGCCGCCGGCTGGTGTGACGCTTAAACGTTTTGATGAATTGTTGATGATTATTTAAAGATGCTGTGTGTTAAAGAGCGTTGCTTTTGTTGTCGTTTCATTTTGGTTACGGGTGTGTATATGTATGTATCTTCTGTTTGACGATACGATAAGCAACAAACAGTGGCGGCCGCGTGCATTGCGCGGCCTGTATAGATGCGATAAGCAATGCCGTTGGAAAATAAATGGGGAGGAAATCGCTTACCGACTAAATTGGGGTAATTTATGTGTAGTTAAGTTGAATGCGACGTGGGTTTGGAGTGGGTGCTTGGGTGTTATGGCGATGGGCGGCATGCAAGCACTTACACACATACCTACATACACATTTAATGCTGCAAAGGTGGTGACGCTGTGAATGCTTGTGTGCAGCGCCATTGATGTGGAAGTGAAATTCAATTTTCTGAAAGTGAGTAACGGTGGCAAAGTATGGTTTTCTTTTCGTTTTTTTTTTGCGCCCTCTTTTTTGTGTAAATGAACTTTGGTTTACTTATGCGCTTTATGTTTTTTGTTTGGCTGAACCATGTTTGGCGTGCCTAAAAAATTCATGAAACTTCACAAAAATAAAAAAAAATAAAATGCGTAAGTGTGCCGTTGCCCACTGTCCAATAACAAAGTAGCACATGCATACACCGCTCAGCATCTATGTACTTAGCAATTGTTTGCCGGTAGCAGTAAAAGGTATGAATAACAAAAAATACACCATCATGGTAAAGTTTTGCGCGTCAGTGCACATTAAAAATTCATTAGCCGCAAAAAATAAAAATAAATTAAAAGAAAAATGTTGTAACCGCATTTGAGGGTGGCTGGGGGGATGGAAAGCCATAGAACGCAATGTCTTGTGCTATAAAAATTTCAGCAGAAAAGTTTGAAAATATTTATACTGGTTTTAAAATTTTCGTATTTCACCTGTCCATCGGCCATTTACTACCTTGAAAGTTTTCCAAAGTACGCTGCAAGGCGTTTGCATATTTTAATGTTTCTTTTTTATCATTAATTTTAATATTTTTTTGTGTGAAAAGTTTTACGAATAATGCCGTTTACATGTCAGTGAGAAATTTTTTTAATATAACTCGCTAAAGCAAGGGGCGCCAAATTCATCGCAGAAATACGAGATAACGCGTCATTGAAATATATATGTTCATTAGAGTGCATCAAAAAAAAAATGGTAGATACTATTTTTTCATCGTAACCCTTAAAATGGGTTCACTAAAAAGACGTGATGGTTCCATCAGGGAGAGGAAAGGAGCGAGGCGTTTTCCCTGGAAACCAGACTATAGTTACAAATGCCCTTCTCTAGAGCGGAGAGTTAGAGAATATAAGAACCACAGATACAATTTTTTTTTTTGCACAAGAAGATGCCATAAGATATGCATTCGAACATTTTGATAGCTTCAAATCGCCCAGACCTAGTGACATCCTGAATATTTTACTCAAAGAAGATGCTTCTGTGCGTCTGTAGGCAACCGTGAACAAGATTTTCACTGTGTCGCACTGTGCACTTGCTTAGTGGACGTCAGCTTTTATACGTTAATTTGGTAAGGAAAACTATTTGTGGTAAAAGCTTCAGACCTATTAGGATAATATCCTGTATGCTGAAATGTTTGGAGTGATTGATTGAGTTGCACATTCGTAGGGCGGCGCTTTCATCACATACTCTGTCTGTGCAAGGACATGCCTGTACTGGATTCGTGGAATGCTAATGCAAGGGGTAATTATAATTCAGGTAGAAGGGGTCAGTGTGTGACGTGCGTAGTTCATAGGGACGGTATTCTGCGCTGGGGCTATTGGAAAGCGTAAAGAACACTGAATCAGGTTGAAACTTACAGGGAAACTCTGGCTAAGATAGCACAAAGTCTTTTATAAGACAAATGAAAGACAGATAGTTCGAAAGAATTTTGTTATTCTAGTATGTATTCTCGCTCTCTCATTCACCACTCGGGGTGAAAATCTATTTTGAGAGGAAGTACTTATATACCATTTAGCCCGCGTTTCTCCAACAGTCGCAATGGCCGAGTGAGTAAAGCACTGCTGTGCCTTTCGAGAGATCCGGGTTCGAAACCTCCGGCAAAGAACTTTTTCTTACTAAAATATTTCCTTTTTTAATTTAATTTTTTTTATTTTCAGATTCATTGCCTTAAGAAAACAAATATATTTTCTTTAATTTCGTTTAATTTTTAGAAAAGTATCTTATAACATTTCTGTCTTGTTCTTTAAGATTTTATTTCATAAAATTTTTAGAAGCGTATTTTTTCTATTTTTTAATTAAATATTTTTAATATTTTTTTTTTTCAATTTAACTTTCTTTATGGCTTTAAATTTTATTGTTTTAAAAAGAAAAAACATATTTTTATTTCATTTAATATTTAGGATCTTAGTTTATTTATTTTTTCTATTTTTTTTATTTTCGTTTATTTTTTATTTCATTTAACTTTTAAAAATATTTTTATTTTTTTTTTTTTGCTTTACTCATTTTCATTTAATCTTGGTTTTTCGTTTTTTAACTTAAATTTCTTAATAAGCCACAATAACACTGACAAATTAAATTTCTCTTATTTATTAATTTTTATTGGTTTGAAAGAATTTTTAAAAGCTTATGTGTAAAAGGCGAACCGCATAACGCTAAGACGTCCTCTTTAGCAGATCTTTTACTTAGTCATTCGAAAGATAGTAAAGAGTTTTCAAGATTGTTGCCAGAATTGAAAATTGAAGACTTTTGTCTTACGAACGACTGCGGTGAGTTGGAAGACAGTTGCCAGAATTTACCTGTGAGTGTAGTGCGAATGAGCTATCCGCTAACCAAACGAAAAATGGTGTTGTGGCCCTTACTAGAAGAAGAAGGTTGGACCTCAATAGGCAGACTTCTCCGAAATGAAGTATTTAAGTGTTAATTTATTACAGTAAACTTTAATGGGAGTCTAACGTTGACAATGCAAACAAGTCTTTGGTAAAACGTGGCGTCTATAACTTAGAAAAATCCTCGCTGATAAGATCCATTATCAGCTTTGCATCTGTGGTGTGCTGGAGCAAACGTCAAAGAAATGTCACCATGTGCCTATAACTCTGTACTTACTGCTAAATATTTCGTCACGTAATATCTTTATTCAGGGAGACCTTTGATACCTTAAAAAAAATATGTGCTTTCATGATTCTTTTTTTATGGAATAAGGCGGAAATTTCTAGAGAGAAAGAGATGGAGACCTTAATATCTTCTCAATGCCTCAGAATCGTACGTCATCACTGTCTATGCTGAAGAGGACTACAATGTTAAGTTCGCTTAGGTTGAGTGTTGCTTTAACACTAATCCTATGCCCGATCTTACACATTATCGATCCTTTACTAAGGCTGCCAGACTGACACAGGGTAAGGATCTCGAGTCTATCGCGATGATACCGAGAACAATCTCAGCTTCTCTCTTCCAAGCCGAGATATTTTTTGATACCCCAAGGAAGTGCTGGGAAATAGATGGAGAGGTCGGAGCTTAAGTGTTTCTAGTGACAATCTAACTGCCCTGTAAGCGCTTCTAAATCGGTTCTGTAAATACAACCTTGCATCCGGAATCGAACTGGAGCCTAATTTTCATCAGAATACCACTTTTAAACTAAAAGTCAACAACTTTTTCATCCGCCAAAAATTCGTTTGTA